AGTTTAAACTAGAAAACTAAGTGGAGAGAAAATCTAAGAGAAGAGGTAAAAGAAAGAGTAATCATATCAAAACAACTAAAAACGTATTTATACAAAGCTTCTAAAAATCGTAATTAGAAACTACGTAAATCGTCGAAAATCATCCTCCACCCCCCGATCGGGCCTGCCTTTTTGAACCTCGAAGCTTCTAGCTCGGGTGAGGCAATACTTCGTTCTTCTTCCGCCCCGCCCGGTCAGGCGCGCCTCATGGCGAGGGCAACCTGATTGGGCGTGGCTCATGGGCGGCTCTTGGACATCGATTGGGCTCCGATTCTTCGGCCCAATCCGGATTTCCTCTTTGGGGCTTTAACACTTGGTCCAAATGCCTCGGTATCTCATATATCGAGCCCTTGATCACCGGTTTGATGACTCTAACCGGCCTTGGGCTATGAAGAGTGGTCGTACTCCTCCAATGCTTGTAGTTGCTCTAAATAATCCGGGAAAATGCTCCAAAAGTGTAATTCCCTACAAAACTGAACCAAAACTACAAAAACACTAGAAAACACTAATTAATAATAAAAGTGGCTCTAAAGAGCCAAAAACACTACCAATTATGACCAAGGGACGGGGGTATAACACTATATAAAATAGACATATTAGTTTGAATGACCATTTTGGGCGCTGTTTTTATTTGAATTGGAAGCTGTCAGGGTGGTTGTTGGGCTGAATGAATGGTGGAGCGGCGCCGCTGATGAGGTTTGTTGTCGGTTTTTGGTGATTGGTTGCATATGGAGTTGAGTGTTTTACGACAGTGAGAACTGGTGAATGGCTTTGCAATGGTATTGGAGGTGAGAAATGGTGGAAAATTAGTGATAGTGGCGAGGAGGGTGGTTTTGGTGAAGCCAGCGTATGGCAGGAAAGGGTATAAGCAAAGGGGAGGAGGAAGGGGAATTTTGACGGGAAAAAGAGGGTCCAACAAGGAGGGAATCGGGGAAGACAGTTGTTGGGTCCGGCTGTTCCGGCGAAAGGTTGGGTTCGACCGATCCTACGATGGCAAGGTTCGATTGGTCAGCGGGCAGCTTCTCCTGCGAGGCATTTACTCCGGCAGGGGGAAGGAAGAAGAAGGCCATAATTGTTAATATATTTTTGTTTATTTCTTTATTTTTTTTAAAAACTATAAATAAAACCCAATTAAAAGGTGACACGTGTCATGTTACCTTCTTAAACAGGTTATCAATTTCACAAACCGGTCAAAGGCTAATTTTGAGAACATGGGGTATAAAGGTGGGATTATTTCCAGAATACGCAATGATGGGATTATTTTGAGTAGATCGATGGGCCAAAGATGGGATTATTAGTATCAATTTTTTCCAACAAATTAAAGCAAAGTGGACAATTTTGTAGATTGTTTCATATAAAAGTTATCACCTATCAACAACATTTTATCAAAATTCTTCAAAAGTTAACAATTACAATTACAAGTTGATGAATCACATTTATATAGGATTTATAGGCACGTTTATGTTAAGTTTATAGTAGCTTTTTAGGTATTTTTGTTGCTTTTTAGGACGCAAATGCATAAGTTGTTTGTTTTGTACTCTATTACGCCTCGTTTGTGTTTTTCTTAATGTTTAGATGATTTTATAGTCATTTGGACGCTTTCGAAGTGTTTGGAGTTGATTCGGATGATATTTAGATGGAAGCCGATGAATCAGTTTTATTAATCGAAAATACCATGTTCGTGAATGTTGATTTTGAGGTTTATATGCATGAGGAATGAATATAGCATTCACAAGGGTCGCTATGCATCTTTCGGAAATGAATTTGAGTTAGAAACGAAGAAAAACAATGGTTTACAAAGTGGCAAAAAAGACCTTTGCTCACTATTTTGATCATATCTTGAGTTCTACATATTGGATTTATGAGATTCAAGTTGAGTTGGAAACTAGACTTGAAGAGATTTCCAATGATAGGTCACACGCCTCGAGAAGATTCCTAGAACAGAAGTTATGAGCATTTGAATTTAAGCAATGCAATCAGCCACCGCAGGGCTGGCTGCGCCTCTGTCCCGCGTCCCCTCGAAGGCTGCTGCCGCTTCTGCCAGGGCGCGGGAACCACCCTGCGGCCGCGGGTTTGGTCGAGTGGCAGCCTACAAGGCTTCGTTGATTCACGTCCTATGACCTCGCTTACGATTTTTGCCATGTCATCATCTATCGCCCAATAACATTGCAACTTGTGTAATTTATATTTTCTTATTTCTTTTCTTTAATTATTTCTTTAGATTAGTTTTAGGATAATATAAATACTTCAAGGGATTATTATTTTCCCTTATGCTTTTTTATACTTTTTAATTTTTACATTCTTTTTAGTTTTCTCTCTTGAACCCTATTTTCTCATGGCATCTCCATGGATTCTTCCATGGAAGATTCTTGGGTTTACTATTTTAATTCATTGAGGTATTTTATTTCTATTTTCTTGCTTTCTATTAGTTTTATTCCTTAGATCTAGTTTTATTTATTTATTTCATGCTAGAGTAGTTTTATTTCTAGGATTTGGGAATCCATGTTTATATTATAAATCTTGATTGATAATTTCAATATTTTGATTATTCATATCTCTAATTGATAGTGTTTTTATTGATAATCTTGCAACCTGATCAATTGTATGATTAATTCATGTTAATAAGAGTTTGAATCGAAATATCTTACTTTTAGAGGCCTACCTACAATTAGCAATTCTGATTATGTTAGCGACCGAACTACATATGTTGAATTGAGAGCGTTAAGACCCGACCGTAGGCTTAACAATTGCTGTAGATACTTGATTGATTGAATTGTTATTGATTTTTTGATAGATTTAGAACTATAAACATGGTGAACCATAACCCTAGGTCTTTTAATTATTTGTTTTATTCCTATTTTAATTTAGACTACTTTTCTATCTGAATTTCGTGACTTGTTTAGTTTCTCCAATTTCTTAGAGGTTAGATTGAATACCATCTCTCTGTGGATTCGACCCTACTTACCCTACTACATTGTTAGTTGGATTCGTTAGGATTTATTTTTGACAGGTGTACGACAACCTATCACAAGTATAAAAATATAACCACTTTTCACACATGGTTTCATCCATTAAATTCTGTAAGCCCAACACCCTCATTCAGTCATTATTTTATTTTATTTTATTTCTTTTAAAGTTTTTATACGACAATAAAAAATAAATGGAAAATTAGAGATTTAAATTTGATAGCATAAGTAGAAGGTAGAAAGAGAAAGATCCATGTGTAATAATGGTATGCTCAAGGTCAGGAATCTCAGGATCAAGGGCTGGTGGAGAGAAAAAGAAAGAGAAAATGCAATAATAATTTATTGGACAATTAAAGAGCCGTGTTTGTCAGAACTCAGAAGGGTCACAAGGCTAGTGAAGTCATTGATAATTTTGGCCATAATAATACTATACTAGAGAAAAAGCTTAGCAATAATATCCTGTATTTTTTTTTTCTTTTTACAAACACAAATTTATCATCATATATTTGTATGAAAAAATTATATCGAGTTTTTTAAAAATAGTTTCATACAGGCCCTGTTTGGCTGAAAGCTGAAAATGATTAAGTTAGCTGAATTTGACTAGCTGATTGTATTAATTGATTTGACTAACTTACTTTATTAGCTGATTGTATAAAAGTTTTTGGTAAATAGTTGATAGCTTAAAGGTGATTGAGTATGTGAAATGACCAATAAGCTAATTGTGGGGTAGGTAGTTTAGATAGGATTTTAAATTAAATGAGGTTATAAGTGTCATTTCACAATAATTAATGAATAAGCTAATTGAAAAAGCTTCTATCAAACACTTGTATTAGCTTGTTTGACTAGTCAATCAGTTAAAGTTAGTCAAATAAGCTAATATACCCCTAATCAGTTTTCTACCAAACAGGGCCACAGTAAGTATAAGATGCCAACCGTAGGTATATGGTATAATAGCAACATTAGAAGGTGTAGTCATAATAACAATCTTACATACTCCCTCCATATAGAAATCTTGAACTCGCGTACCGTGTATACTTTTGCTTCTATAATTGAAGAGGGAAGCTGAATGTTTAGAAGAAAAAAGGCAAATAAAGTACAAGAGACGTATAAAACAGAAGGGTGTGTACCCAAAAATTAATGCTACGTAAAAAAAAATGACTTATACCCTACTAGGAATGAGTCATAGCTTGGAATAAAAATTATTGCACTTCAAATTCTGGTCAGTATATGATAAGCATAAGATTGGATAATTATGGATAATTATGTATAATAACAATATTGTATTTATCTTCTCCTTGTTTATAACCTAGAGTTTAGCATAGTTCTTATCTTTTAGCTAGTTTGTTATTCTCTCGTGTTGTATAAATATTTGCTGTACATACCTTGCCAACCTATGAAAAACAATTATTATCTTTCATGGTATCAAAGCAGGAAGATCCAAACACCTCCAAATTTTTTTTTTCCTCACCGTGCTCCACTTTTTCTCCATGGCTTCCACTCCATCTACAATCCCCAACGATGCTCTTCCCTCTTCTCCCCTTATTATAGTCAACCTCACTAATGTGGTCAAGCTTACCAACCTTAACTATTTATCCTGGCGCCTACAACTCGAAGCTATCCTAGTTGGCCATGGCTTATTCCATTTTGTTGATGGCTCCATTACTCCTCCTTCGCCCACCGTCACATTGGATGATAAAACTACTCCTAACCCTGCCTACACCACCTGGTTCCGACAAGATAAACTACTTTTTGGAGCTTTTCTAGGCACCTTAGAAACCACCGTCTCCCCACTAGTATCACGCGCAACCACCACCAAGGAAGCTTGGGACATTCTAGCCCATACCTTTGCTCGTCACACACGTGGCCATGCCAAACTCCTAAAAACCAACCTTCGGTCTATAACCAAAGGAACCCAATCCATTACTGAATATATGAATGCCATCCGCGTTTTTGCCAACCAACTAGCTGTTCTAGGAGACCCCTACAAACCTGACGATCTTATTGAACGTGTTTTAGAGGGCATTCAGGATCCTGCTTACCAATCCGTTATTGATGCTGCAAACAACCGGGATACTCTTATTACCTTTGATGAGCTTCATGAAAAACTCCTTCTAAAGGAAGTTCAAATTCGTAACACACCTTCCCCCACTCCACTGCCCATCACAGCCCACGCCACTAGCACCCGCCCCACTGCCCCCTATCCACGCAAGCACAACACTACCACTCCCCCATCACAGTCTACCCGCAAGCACAACTCCCCTACTCCATCTCCTACTGACAAAGCCACTGGATATAAGGGTAAATGCCAGTGGTGTCACACCCTCGGCCATTCTCTTTACCGTTGCACAGCTTTTCGCCAACGCTTCCCGATGCTAGGCCCACTCTACCACCCCAGCAGCCCACGCCTTCCCCCCAAGCCAACCTTACCGTCGCACCTAATGTCTCTGCCTCCTCACCTTGGTTGCTGGATACCGGTGCTTCTCACCACGTTACCCATGATCTCTCTACTCTCTCCTTGCATCATCCATATGATGGCTCTGAAGAAGTAATTATAGGTAACGGTTTGGGTGTTTCTATCACCCACACTGGCTCTCTTTCTCTTCCTTTATCTCCCTCTAAATCGCTGCTATTATCTAATATTCTATGTGCTCCTAATATGTCTCGCAATCTTATTTCGATTTCCAAACTTTGCTCTGATAATAACCTTCTCATTGAATTTTCTTCTGATTATTTTACCTTGAAGGATCGCCTCACGGGGGCACCACTCCTGAAAGGGCCGGCTAAGCAGGGACTCTATGAGCTACCTCCATCTTTGGCCATTCTTGCACTCTCTTCCATCAAAGCTCCCGCAATAAATTGGCATCACAGATTGGGCCATCCCTCTATTTCAATTTTCAAACACATTGTGTCTGATTTCAATCTTTCAGTATCAAGCTCGTTTAATTTTAATTGTAACGCTTGCCAGTGTAATAAAAGTCACAAACTCCCGTTTGCTCAATCTACTTTAGTCTCTAATGCACCTCTTGATGTTGTTTACACAGATTTATGGTCTTCTCCCTTACATTCACTTGATGGTTTTAAGTACTATGTCATTTTTGTTGATCATTACACCAAATATGTTTGGTTTTATCCTCTCAAATTCAAATCTGATACTAAACAATTTTTTATTCGCTACAAAGCTTTAGTTGAAAAATACTTCTCTAGGCCAATCAAGATTCTTTACTCCGACAATGGTGGAGAGTATGAAGCTCTTGCCTCCTTTCTCACAATTGATGGAGTATCCCACCTCACCTCACCCCCCCACACCCCTGAACACAATGGTTTTGCAGAACGCCGGCATAGACATATTGTTGAAACCGGCTTATCTCTTCTTTCTCATGCACACCTTCCATTGTCCTACTGGTCCTATGCCTTTACTACCGCATCCTACCTTATTAATCGACTACCCACTCCAACTCTATCCATGAAATCCCCTTACCATTGTCTCTTTGGCGCACCCCCGAACTACCTCAAGTTGCGGTGTTTTGGTTGTTTATGCTATCCTTGGCTACGACCCTACTCCACCCATAAACTACAACCCAAGTCCAAACCTTGCATCTTCATTGGTTACTCCAAAACACAAAGTGCATATCACTGTTTAGACCCTAGCTCAAACCGTGTCTACACTTCTCGGCATGTACAATTTGTTGAAACCGTGTCCCCAGGCCTCACATTACAAAACACACAACCATCCAACCCAATCCCAACAGCCACGGCTTGGTGCCAGCTCTCCTTGCCACTCCTTCAAGCCCCGAGTAATCCAACCCCAACAGCCACACCATCCTCTACCGCCACAACAGACCCACCACCCACTGTCTGTACCCATGACCAGCCCCAAGAAGCACCCAGCAGCCGTAACCCAGCACCCTCACGCACCACTCCAACAAACCAGCCCCCTGGCATCATCACTAGATCCCAAAACAACATATTCAAACCCAACCCAAAATATGCTCACCACACCACCATCCAACCAAAACCCTTTATACCACGCAACATTACACAAGCCCTTAAAGAACCTCAGTGGAAGCAAGCCATGGAAGAGGAACTAGCAGCACTCCACCGTCTTGGCACGTGGGTGCTCTCACCACCGAATGCTGCCACCAACATAATTAAATGCAAATGGGTTTTTCGCATCAAATACCATAAGGATGGTACTATTGAACGCTACAAATCTAGGCTAGTAGCAAAAGGTTTTCAACAGCGTCCCGGCATTGATTACTCAGCCACCTTTAGCCCAGTTGTAAAACCTGCCACAATTCGAACCCTCTTGAGTCTTGCAGTCTCAAACGGTTGGCATCTTCGTCAATTAGACATAAATAATGCTTTCTTACAGGGCAACTTATCGGAAGAGGTCTGTATGACCCAACCTCCAGGGTTCACTGACCCTACACACCCCACACATGTATGCAAGCTCCGGAAGGCTATATATGGCCTTAAACAAGCCCCTAGGGCATGGTACACCGAATTAGCAAACTACCTTATTGGGTTTGGCTTTCGGCGATGTTTTTCGGATGCCTCATTATTTATTTATCATCACTCCACCACCCCAATATATCTTATTGTCTATGTCGATGATATCATTGCTACATGCCCTAATACCACCTTTCTTAATGAGTTTATCAAAAGCTTTTCTAACCGCTTCTCTTTGAAGGACTTAGGTGATCTATCTTACTTTCTCGGAGTTGAAGTCATGCCAACACCTCTTGGTCTCTTTCTAAATCAACGAAGGTATATTCTGGACTTGTTAGAAAAGCTCGGCATGCAAGACTCCAAACCAGCATCAACCCCCATGATTTTGACAGAACACTTAACAGCTTCTTCAGGTACTCCACTAGCCGTCCCTAAAGATTATCGCATGGCAGTTGGAAGTCTACAATACCTCACTCTCACAAGACCGGATGTTGCCTTTGCTGTCAACAAGCTATCCCAATTCATGCATTGCCCAACCACTTCTCATTGGACAGCCCTCAAACGATTACTACGTTACTTGAGTGGCACCCTAGACAAAGGTTTCACAATATACCGAGAGTCTACACCAAATTTGCATGGTTTTTCGGATGCAGACTGGGCTGGAAATCGTGATGATTTTACATCAACAATGGGTCACATCATTTTCCTTGGTCGAACTCCAATCACATGGTGTTCAAAGAAGCAACGCTCTCTTGCTCGATCATCCACAGAAGCTGAATATAAGTCAGTGGCTACAACAACTGATGAGCTATTATGGGTCCGAAATCTACTCCTTGAAATGGGTATCAAGCTGCCTTGCACTCCTACAATATTTTGTGATAACTTAAGTGCAACATATCTCAGCGCAAATCCAGTGTTTGAATCAAAAATGAAGCACCTTGCCGTAGCCTATCACTTCATCCGAGAAAATGTTCAAAAGGGGCTACTACGGGTTGTACATGTGCCAACTGGTGATCAATTAGCGGACTTCCTAACTAAACCATTGTCTAGACCACGTCTGGATACTCTTCTAACCAAGATTGGACTCACTGACTCGCCGTCCATCTTGCGGGGGCATGATAAGCATAAGATTGGATAATTATGGATAATTATGTATAATAACAATATTGTATTTATCTTCTCCTTGTTTATAACCTAGAGTTTAGCATAGTTCTTATCTTTTAGCTAGTTTGTTATTCTCTCGTGTTGTATAAATATTTGCTGTACATACCTTGCCAACCTATGAAAAACAATTATTATCTTTCAGTATATTATTGTGATTTGTTCATATTTTTTTTATTTGTAATAATAATTCAAATACTGTATAATGTGTTGGATAAAGCTAAACATGCTTCAAAGATTTAATCCGTAATATACTACGAAGTACGAGTACATTTATTTATCTCAATAAAACTACTTGCGCAAAAAATATAGGGACTTCACCCTGAACATTGGCCATATTAGTAACAATTTTTTTTCTTTTTTAAAACCACAAATTAGTAACAATTATGTCATAGTAGTAGTAGTTGATTCCAGTGATCGCCAATGTCGTCACCCATATGGCCATATTTTTTTTTTTTCTTTTACTAATCTTGTTTTAGTAGGTTTTATTTTTTTTACTGTGGTAATAAAATGCATAAATAGAAGTTACACTAAAAAGAGAACTGAATAGATGCATGTGAGTGTGAAGTACTACGTTAAAAAAAAAAAAAATGTTTTTACAGTGCCATGTTGTCAGGAGGGTCACAAGGCTAAGTCTGACCATGATAGAGAAATTCACAAATTTATATGGAGTATCATGAAAACGTTTTTTTAAAAATAATGTTAGTGTCCAAAATTGTTGGGCCATGTAGGCTTTTCGGGTCATTTTTGGACTGGGCTAAAAAAACAACTAAATTTACATAAAAATGTTTTTCCCTTTCTATTTTTTTTTTTTAAAAAAAAAGCCGGACCGTGCCCAACCCAATTTCGGGCCTGAAAAGGCTGTCCAAAACCCGCCAAAATTGGGCCGGGCTACATATGATCAGCTCTACATAGTAGTCACCTGCAAGGCTTCAAGTTCAATAAATTTTCTCATAGTAACAATTATTTCATGGTAGTATTAGTTGATTCCAAGGATAGCCAATGTCGTCATCCATTTTTTTTATTTTACTGTGGCAATAAAATGCATAAATAGAAGTTGAATAGAGAAAGATGCATGTAAGGGTCAAGAAAAAAAAAATTACAGAGCCATGTTGTCAGAAGGGTCACAAGGCTAAGTCTGACCATGATAAAGAAATTCACAAATTTATACATGAAATGTTTTTTTAAAAATATTGTTCGTGTCCAAAATGGTTGGGCCATGTAGCTTTTCGGGTCATTTTTGGCCAATCTAAAAAAACAACTAAATTTACATAAAAATGCTTTTTCTCTGTTTTTTTTTTTTAAATCAAGCCAGATCGAGCTCAACCCAATTTCGGGCTTGAAAAGGCTGTCTGAAACCCGCCAAAACTGGGCCGGGCTATATGTGATCATCTATACATAGTACTCACTTGGAAGGCTGCAAGTTCAATAGTTTTTTCTCATAGTAATAATTATTTCATAGTAGTAATGGTTGATTCCAAGGATAGCCAATGTCGTCATCCATTGTTTTTAAAATTTATTTTTACTGTGGCAATAAATTGCATAAATAGAAGTTGAATAGAGAAAGATGCATGTAAGGGTCAAGAAAAAAAAAATTAAAGAGCCATGTCGTCAGAAGGGTCACAAGGCTAAGTCTGACTATGATAGAAAAATTCACAAATTTATACGGAGTATCATGAAATACTTTTTTAAAAATTAGAAGGTGTATTAATAATAATAACAATAATAATAATAATAATATACGATGACGACGACGACGACATGCTTGTCGGCTCCAAAGACTCAGCTTTTAGTTTTTTTTTTTTTTTTGTTAGGTTAATACACTGATTTCATTCTGTTTACTGGTATATATAAGCTCTTAACCTTCCTTTTTCTTTTTCTTTTTTCTTTTTTCTTTTTTATTTGACTCTGAAAGTCTGAATATCTCCTTCTCCAAGAAACATCTTTTTACAAGTAAATTTTTTTTATCTTTCGGTTTTTTGCCTTAAATATGGAATCTGCTTTTATGCAATATTAATGTCTACTCTTACTATGTTTCCTGATTTAATTCTTTGCACTATTTTGTGTATATACGCGTTTGTCTTTTTCTAATTTTTTTTTAAGATGTTTAAATTTTAGTACTTTTTTTATTAAATTAGGAAACTGCACGCGAGACCAAGTTGTAAGGGAGGGTGTTCAACATTTAATTTGGCAATTATAAAGAAGAATTTGTAATTTATTGTAAGGGAAGTAATATATGAACTATGAAGCAACAAGCCTAATATTGTCGCATATCTTGGTTGATCGATTTGCTAGGATGTAAGCCATGTAACAAATATTCAAAATGTTTATTAGTGTTACAATTTATTTTATTTTTTTGGAATAGTATTAGTGTTACTATTTGGCATCTATAATCTAAGTAATATTAAATAGAATGTATTCCGTATAAAGTGGATAGACAAATAGGGTATATTAGTTACATGTATTAGTATTCCACTAATATTTCACTGTACAAAAATAGCATATTAGCATACAATTATTTTATGACAAATCAAAATTGCATATTAGCATACAATTATTTTATGAGGGAACAAAAAAAGACTTCTTTGTATATATTCTAATTATAATTGAAAATGTTGACTAATGTTGAATCACCAAGATTTTCCTGGAAATAACAATGGAACTGATTTCTTCCAAACAATCATTGGATTGAAGATCAGAGACCTGTTCAAGCAGATTGTTGCCAACAGGTTTGCAACTCCTGCAGAAGCTGCTAAGGCCTAAAAGCTCGAGTTTACAGATGATACATGCCACTACGAATATAACAATTTTCCTCCTCTTCATTTGGAATGTCCACTACCTATTCTTCTTGTCTAAGTTTTTTTTTTTTTGTAGGCTACTCTGATATTCTGATGTTAATGGACAGGTGCTAAGGCAATAGCTGAAAAATGAGTCCATTCTAAAAGAATTCATATTTAGTCAGAGTTGCAATTTGCAAAAAGCTTGGATTTAATGCCACTGTATGAACAAACTGGAAATGAAACTATGTTATGGTGCCAAATGTGAACTTGCTGCAGCATGTCTTTTAAAGCCTTCGTACAGGATATATTTGATAATATTTGTTTAAGAATAAAGTATTTGTCGCAGTTTTGGTGTGTGAAGATGTCAAGCCCCAAATGTCTCTGCATTATGATATGAGTTAGTCTTAAAAGATAGAGCTAGGTGTATATGCAGGACCTTTTTTAGTTAGTTAATCAGTGCTCAACTTGGACACTGTGTGTTTCTGCATGGGGAAAGGCTGAGTGCATCTGACTGCCTAATCCTTGGTTATATCTGTACTGTGAATCAGAGTTCCTCCCTGCCATTTTTGGTGATCCTTGCTGCTCTAATCATGGGCATTGCTGATTGCTCTCAACTTCACCATGTTCCTTTGTACGATAGTCAACTCCACTCTGATGACCACTATTGTTGGAGGTCTGAAAGGTGTTGGATCAACAGTATGAATCACTTTGCTATCATGAAAAATCAATGTATCAACGGTATATGTTTTTTAGTTTCTCTAGAAACAAGAGATTTGGAAAAACCTCCATGTAGGACTACTTGGATGGCAAAGATCAATTGTGCTCCAGCATAATTTTACAAAAGCCAGCATGTTAGTTCCAACAAAGAATTAAAACATGTAAAAGAACACAAGAGAAATACAGGAAATTAGACTGCAAATTTTAGAACTTTGGTTAATGTGTAATTCAGTATTCAATTGCACAAAACGTCATCTTCTGTGTACATGTTGTCAATGAGCAGAATGATTGCTTCAATGAAAATTCTGTCAAAATTACGAATTTGGTTTACTAGGACAATACATGTAAATGTACAGCTGTAGTCAAGTAACATATCACCCAAAAAAGGAGGGGTAAAAGTAAAGTTCATCTACATATTTCTGGTTTTGGACAGCAAGGACTAAGGAGCAATGATTGCATGACCTATATTACATCTGATTGCTGGTATTCAGGGCTCAGAAAAGAAGTCAGGATCTTGAGGCTTCATCATCTTAGGTAAATCAATATCCCTGTTTCTTTGTGCACCTTTTCGTGCATTGCCTGCGAATCTCTTTGCCAAAAGAGTGACTCCAAGCTGTTGTATAGCCTGAGATGGCGTTGCTGTTTCACCACTATTGTCATCAGGAGCTTGTTCTTGGCTTTCAAACTCAACATTATCATATTGGGAAAATGAGCTCGATGCAGTTAAAGAACCTGAGAATGACTCCCTTGAGCTTAAGCTTTGAGCTAGCTTTCTCTTCTTAAACCGTCTCCAAGCAGCTTGAATAAAGCAGGCTCCCCATGTTCGCCAGTGATGAGAATAGTAACGGAAAGTGTGCTGAAGCTTTTTACTATGCAGACGCCTAAACTGGTTTGCCACGAATTTGAGGTCTTCTGCTTGCAATGAAAAAGCTTCTACTTCCTCTAGTGCTTTAACAGTTCTAGTGGAAGACGGAAAATTAGAAGCATTTGGAAGTAAGGCCCAAGCAAGAAGCTCTTCACCACAGAAGTCCCCTGGTCTTAATAAGATGGAATTGAAAAACCCCGAACGCCCTCCATTTGTAGTTGAGCTGTCTAGTTTCCCTCTTATAATAAAGAGCATTTCTGTAACAGGATCACCCTCGCGAACAATGAAAGTGCCTGCTGTATTTAGAGAAGATCTCAGTCTCTCACATATAGCATCCAGTAGTTGATGATCCATTGAAGCAAAAAAAGGGACCTGAAAAGCAGGGAAATTTTAGTACATGACTAGTTTTGGATTTTGAAACAGTAGTTTCCAGTATGAATGTTAAAGGGTCAATTCTAAGCTATAATGTCCCTGCATTGGCTTGCAGGTTCAAACAGAATTTTTCACTTCTCTATAAATGATCCGAAATATATAAGTTTTTGGAGAATTATGTTGCACAGATAATTGAGAAGAAACAGATAAACTTACTCGTCGAACAAGATCCAAGCACAGATGGCTTTGGATATCACGTCGTAGATCTATTGGCAAGGAAGTCAGAATTGCTTCTTCATTGACCCCTCGGGTTGCCATCCACTTGTACTGAACAAACCGCCTCACTCTAACTCGCAGGTGCTGAGGGAGCTGTCGATGTTTCATCCACTCCTCAGTGTCACGCCTCTTAAGCCTCCATTCCTCAAGCCTCAAGGTGATGGATTGCAGATAAGTCTACATATTAAAATTGCAGTTTCCCAAGCATAAGTGAATGGAAGTCAAAGATCACACATATCATATATATCAGAGTAATTCCATGTTATTCACTAAAAGGAGTAGATGGATAAATTAAGGGTAAGAAAAGAAATGCTTAAAAACCAGTAACTGTATGAAATTGATCTTGATTTATTTCTACAACATTTTTAAGCATCAAATTTTCTACTGTAAACGAGAAGCACTTAATAGTCATTTCCCATGCCCAAGGCTGTGAATTCCCCTACAGTGTTCCATGCAACAATTGCAAGGGGACATGCCTACAATGCAAGGAAGATAGCTTCTTATATGACTGGTAAACCAAGGTTCCTTACCTGCATGTTACCGATTAAGAGAGAAAACAGAACCAGACCAACAATGGAAATAAATATGCAAAATGTGGTTTCCCAGGCAAATGTGCTTGTTTCCAAATTCTGGCCATATGAACTGCAAAACATAGATATTACATATCCATGTTAAAAAAAGCTGCACTCTTACATTCAAGGAAACTAAAACCTTAACATGAATGAAGCAATTTAGTTACCTCAACTGTTGTAAGCCCCACCATAAACAATAGAAATACTTGTCCATGAAATTATCAGAGACAACATCTTTTAGCATTGCATTAATGAATATCCCATATTCAAAAGTGCTATTCTCGTTGTTAGGATCACACAGAGAAAATACTTGTGTGCTATTTGCCCAAACGATACGATCTCTATCATCTTTAGTACTGCAATCCAAGTATTTGAGACGGCATTCAGCAGGAGATTTTTCATGTCTACAGGCTGATTTCCAACATGCTGAATACCTTTCTACAGACACAAGATACCAAGCTGCCCCAAGGATCTACAGGAAAGAAACCAACCATTTCAAAACTATCAACATAAGCATTTCTATAAGATTTGAGACTATAACTTGTCTTTCGCTTAAAGGGATCAGTTTCTTACATGACTAGCCAACATGTAGAACATCAGATTATAAGCAGCTCCAGCCCAAGCTGTTTTGGTGACATCACCAGCAGACTTGATAATCTCAGCACTCAGTGGAAAAATCAGATAAAATCGCGGGATATATTGGATGAAAACAATCAATTGAAGCGCATTATAGGTGCTTCTTGATTTAGAGAGCTTAATTGCTGGTATAACAAACCATATCACAATCTGCAGGAAAAAAAAAAAAAAAAAAAAAAACAGTTTTCCTCAAACAAGCTCTTACATTAAGATATCTAAAAACTCGCATAATTTCACACAAAGCCTCTTACCATTCCACCATCCTTTCAGTATTAACTAGACAGACAAAAAATCGAACTAATCAAAGAAACAATACCTGTGGAAGAGGCAATGCTGCAATGAGATCGATGAAGAAACCTGATCTGATATACCTCCTTGAAATTTCCTTTCTATCTCTTACAAGTTCCCCTCTTCCAAAGACCCGAGAGCTAGGTGCTACAAAAGCTGTGCGGAACCTCACAACCACATGTAACATGTATAGAATGTCGGCGACAGTACGAACAAAGGTGACAACAGCACCCAAGGGCACATTCCTTGACATACAGAAAGAACCATTGGGTTTATCTACTTCGGGAAGGTAAAAGAACAAGGGATCAACAAAGAGTGCCACAAGACACGCAACCAGGAAAATTCGGTTCCATATTAAGACCACCTCACTTGAGGGATCCAAAGTCCTGTTCCACCATGATTCATCTTGTTTCCAAGGTCCATCACCGCCATTTCTCGAAAAAGCTCTGAATGTAGGCAGCTTGAAAGCTCCCCCTATTCTGTTAATGCCACTCCCTATTCTGTTAATGCTTCCAAACCCGACACGGCTGCTAAGTAAAGGAGTAGTCTGTATGTATGTTGATGAAGCTTCTGTATTTGATGATTTTTCTGATCTGAATGAGTCATTTCTTCCCCATGAAGAATAACTATTGTTGAAACTCTGCTTTCCATTTTCATAAAAACTGCCAAAAACATGAAATCAATCTATAAGGTAACTGACACAGATTAAACTACATTGATTTGACATAAATTAGATAGAAGCATCAGTCGATTACCTTACTTGCTTATGCCTTTTGGAATCCATGCTTATAACTTGAGATGATTATATGAGTCAAATTCATGGAAACTCAAACAGGATTAAATCAAAATTAACTTCTTCTTGTAAAAATTCTTGTAGAAAAGGCCAAACAAAAAAAAAAGGGATGAAATGAAACAAGATTAGGAGTATTTGTTTTTGATTTGAGATTTTGCATTAGTTGACTTTCCTCAACAAAACAAAAAAACACCAAAGTTTTTCCAAGGAACAATGGTATGAGTTTATGACTACAATCAGCTTAGGGGAAAGCTGGCAACTAAGTCAGAAGAATAATTAAAATTTTAATTAAAAAAAAAAAAAAAAAAAAAAAACACATTCACACACACGAAACAAAGAAGAGACTGAGTACAGCTCAGATGGCTGTTACCTGTTCTTTGTTAGTTGTTGAAAGAAAGGTGGGGAACTATTGGTTGAAGACGTGAACACCAATAATAGTGTTATTATTCATCCCTGATTAATTACTCGTAGTTGCATAATTTGTTACTCTACGGTATTCAATGTGCTACTCTACTTTGATTGTACTCCGTAATAACCTTTGATGTATACTGGTAAAATAAATTTAAAATACGGAGTATTTTATTACTGCCGATATTTTTAAAATTTGATGAGTTAGTAATTGACTATTTCAATACAAAAATTAAAAATATTAATTACTAGTCTATAATATTATGATAATGAACGTGAGGACTAGGTAAGGCGTGGTCCAGATGGATGGATTCTACTTTAGACTCTAAAGAGAAATCTGAGAGCATAATAGTATTGTGTTATTTGGTTTTGAGTACCCAGCTAGCACATGTGCCATAAGGGTTGATTACGCAAATCAAGCTTGTAAAAATTATATTATCCCGAACTTAATTGTGACTTTATAAATAAAATATAGTCAATAAATTAAACTTAGTCACTCACACTAACAAGATGTACACGGCTTCTTTTATTCAATATTTGTGATAAAGGATTAACGATGATTAGTACTTGTACTAGGGTCACAACAAACAAAAGCTTGAAAAGAATTAATGAAGTGATTGAATGTGTCCAACGAGATAAGGCAGTAAATATACAATACATTATACACATGAATTCCCTAAATATCTAATTTCAGAGTACGATGATTTGATAAATAAATATATCACTTGACATTATTGGAATTCAATGTAATCACGTGCTCATAATACCAACACAGCTCATTGTATTGGGTTTCTCATGTATAATAAACCATTTTAAGTTCTACATTGGATATTAAAATTATTGTTTTAATTCGTCAAAAAAATAAATAAATAAAAAGATGTGTTTTAATATAGAACTCATACTTCATCTTAAGTTTAATAATCACAAATACTATTATAAGATGTGTTTAAAATATGAAAGATGTAATATCCCTATAGTAACGGTTTATACTTGTAACTATTATTTCTATCATGTCATTAAAATTTAGTCTAGTGATAAAAAGACAGCACTTGTAGAGGCTTTAGTAGTATTTGAAGATTTGTCCCAAAAAGGTTATTTTTTAAAAAAAAAAAAAAAAAATATTTGTAGTAACCATATCCAGCACTTGTTCATTAGAATACCCTTACAACTCACCAAGTTAATATAACGATGACCCACCGCTGAACACACACACCTACATAATCATGAGTTCATGACAAATCAATTTTATTTTTTTTTTCTTTTAAAGGATGGGTAAATTCACATTCTAGAAATGAAAAGATCGAGTAATGTAAGATTTAGAAAAATAGAATATATAATGGAATAATTACACTATGTAATAATCCAAAGATGTAACGGAAACCAGATTACAAATCGTAATTGGCAATAAGTACACGTATTGAACAAACTAAGCCACCAGTTGCCCCAATCCCAGAAGAAGACATTTGGTGTCATGCTCAAACCAGCTTGTCAAAGTATCACAACATAGAGTACGAATTGTGAAACACCTAATATGGTAATCGAGCATTCAGCCAAGATAGGACCAGGACCACCAAAAGCAGAGCTTTGAGCAAGACATTACAACCAACAGGACATTGCTGCTTATAAAAGTTCCCCAAAAATCAGATTTCAACTTATGGAGAGCACAAGATATAACCTACACAGTCTCAGCCTCGCATGATACAGGGCATTTCCCTACCCTTCACAAGATCCAAAATGTCTACCCTTCCCTACCCTTTTCACATATTTTGGATCACACTAATAAAAGCAGCTTCTGGGTCAGAAGCACCATTGCCAAAAATTAAAAAAAAAAAAAAAATTTAAAAAAAACTAATAATAAAAGAGTACAGCAGCAATTGTCTTTGATTGCCATGTAAACCACATACTACCTCCGTTAAATGTTATGTGCAACTTTGAAATATTTTATACCTCACAAATAATACCTCAAAGTTGCACATAACATTTAACAGAGGTAGTACAACAATTAAGCTGCTGGGAATTATGTATAATGATTATTGAACACCACCCAAGACGCGACCCACATCCAAAATACACTAAAACATAAAACCTTATGGACACTGCACATACCCCCTTAGCATCTCATGAGGAACTAATGGTAAACCATCAACATTGCTAACCATTTCAAACACTATGATCATCAAATAGTGAATATTGTTCCCAGAATATCAATTAAAAGCATGTCCAAATAAAATCTGAGATATACAACTGAAAATTAGTTAATAGCTACATTTTGGAGTTTTTTCCAAGAATTAGACATGGAAACAAAACCAAAATGCAATAAGAGTTCTTTCAAAGCAAAACCACTAACCAGCTCCAGGTGAAGTCCATCAACAACATAATTTCTGACCCAAACATACCCTTAAACTAACCACCAACGCCATGGCACCAAACTAAAACGATAGAAAAGGTCCAGGAAAATCACTAAACTCTGTAGGAAATTCACGCATCAAATCTTTGAAAAAATAGTTATTGTTCACTAATTCTTGCAGTCACTTCTTTTCATAGCACAATATCGATATTGTGCACACTATGGGAGGCAGTACACTTTTGTGAAGTGGAAAAAGAAACTCACATTCAATAACTACAGCAACCCCCCCCCCCCCACCTCTCTATACCCAACCCAAGCATAGGGAAAAAAAACTGAAGCAATGAGCCTACGAAGCAACAGAACCCCCAAAGTTGCCACTTGCTCCACAACTTAGTCGTCGTACTTTAAATAACCTACGCATGGAAACCCAATTAATAAGAACAACTGAAACAATTAGGTCTTGAAAAACCTCAACTTCTTATATGCTTGTACCTGCCAGAAGAGTAACAAGCAGCTTGTCTATCCAGGCAAAAACAAAAAAAAAGTTGTAATAACGTATGAGGGAGATGCATCATGCTGGTGAGATTCAATCAAGTAAGCTTTGATGAAGGCAGCTGGGATCCACAACTAATCAAAATTGAAGATCCTAGGGAAGACAGCAAGGCACAAAACCAGAGGGGAGGGAGATGCATCATGCTGCCGAGATTCAATTAAGCAGGCTTTTCCAAGTGATGAAGCCAGCCGGGATCCACAATAATTCAAAATTGAAGATCCTGGGGAAGGCAGCGAGCAACAAAACCACAGGGAAGTGTAGAAGCAGAAAACCAATGACGCAGAAGCAGAAGAGGCACACTACCAATGTAGCAGAACCATGAAGACAACCTCGACACAAGAAAACAGTACAAAACTTAGCCAATTTTGCAATGTACTAAAGAGCAAATTGTTAACACTAACAAGCACCAATTCATTGAGTTTGAAACAGATTGCTTCTATACGCAACATAAAAAATACTAATCAACACAGAAAGATAAGAACTTAACCAAATCCAAGATTTGTGGTTGCAGGCAGCACCCAGCTTTAAACAGAGTTGAATGATGTCCAAGCATACTAAAGACTTAATATCAGTATTTTCATAGTAAACCACCCCAATCAGCTCCTGCTCCGACGTCGCTCCCTGACACCATTTCTGCATGAAAGATACAAGGTTTAAGTAGACATAAATTTCGCCTTAATCTTTTATATTGAGTGAAATGTGCACAACTTCGCTCTTAAACATGATCCACCAAAACCAATATGGCATGCCACAACACATCACAGGCCAAGACAACAAGGGTTAACCTAAAACGTATACACAATCTGTTTCTTAATAACAGGGTATGAAGGTAAAAAAAAAAAAAAAGAGTATGTCCAATAATATTTAAAACATTGCACGACAGAATGAGATAGGTGAAAGGTCTGAATTCTAAAGACAAAAAAGTAGCAGTTAGCCAGCATACAAAAGCAGAAAGAAGACAACTCTTCGAAACAAGTAAATTTTATACCCATTTGCGTAAGGCAGTTCTTCACGAGCACGATATGGAGGTGACCTGCTGTAGCTTCTTCCACGGGGTGAGGGGCTACGACGGCGTGGAGGTGGAGACCTACCACGTGGACTGAAGCTCCTGCGGGGGAAAAAAGTACAATTTGTAACCGGCAATTATATGTCAATCTAATAAAGTGCTGATCCCCATCCCAAAAATAAAGACATAATTAAATAAATATCATTGCAGAAGATGGAGGGCAGCTTAGACATTGATACTGGTAAATTTGATGACCATACCTTCTGCCATAACTTGGGCTCCTCCTGTATCTTGGACTGCGGCTGCGACGCCTCCCCCCTCCTCCACCACCAACACGTAAACGACATTCACGAGCAAAGTGACCAGGCTCACCACACTCATAGCACTTCAAATCAGATCCACCTCTTCCACCGCCTCTCCCACCACCACGACCTCCACCCCCACCTCTAGAATTATGAGAAAGCTCAACTCTCCAGCCATTTTTACCTGGAGGAAAGAGGGAGGAAAAAGAGCAAGATAAGAAAAGAAGAGAATATGCTATAGTAATAGCAACTAAATCACTAAGCTAAATTAATTTAACTACAACGTTTAAAACAAACCGTAGAATAAAAACTGTCCGCAAAGTATAAACCAATGCCCCAGTGCTCAATACAAAGACACCAGACAATTTCATTCAGAAAAGGTTAACATTTACTTCATCAACAAGCTAAAAGGCCTCCACAAGTATTTACATAAAGATTCATACACACTCCACTAAAATGATCAATACTGTATAGCACTTAAATCTGTTGATTCTTTCTAGAGAGGGTAAAAAGTCACTATCTTTTAAATTTCATTGGCATATTCCATCTCATAATTGCTGCAAAGAAATTGGGAATACAATTACAACAAATAATGACACACATCTATTGAAGCAATGAAGGACAGAGGACGGCAACACGAAAGAAGGCTAACAAGAAAGATCAACAACACCATACTCGAGTGCACGGAAAAACCATACATTAAACAAAAAAATCATAGACTCTTAATAAAAATGAAAAGAAAATACCATCCAGAGAATGAATGGCATCTTTGGCGTCCCTGGTATCATCGAAATCAATGAAAGCATAGCCTGGAGGTCTCCGAGCAACCCAAACACTGCAAATCAACCCAATTTTCAAGAAATTAGGAAACAACTAGCTGATATTACTCAAAGAAATCCGAATAAAAAGCTGAATCGTTACTAAAGATCCAATTGAAGAAGGCTGACCTTCGAATAACTCCGAAAACGCGAAACTCGTCTTCGAGTTCTCGCTCAGTGACCCGTGGATCCAAGTTTCCAACATATACACGCGACATTGTGCAGAATTAAACACCTAACAGCAACATGTTAGACAAATTCAGATCAATTGAATAGCAAAGATTAAGAATTCAGCAAAATTATGAGAAAACGATGAATTAGGGTTTGAGAAAACGATGAAGAAAACCTTGGAATTGGATCTGGCGGAAAGATGAAATTCAACGAAAATGAAGCAAAGGAGAGAGAGAGAGAGAGAGAGAGAGAGAGAGAGAGAGAGAGAGAGAGAGAGAGAGAGAGAGAGGGGTACCTGAATGAAGAGAGATTCTGAGGCGAAAGCAAAGGGTCCCTGTGTTCTTTTCTCCGAAGGAAATTTGAAACCCAGAAGAGAATGAAACCTACAGTTTTTAGGGTTTTAGTATTCGAGGATTCTATCTACTAGTATTTTCAGTCCAAGTCCTTTTGCCTTCTGTATTTACGTTTATACCCTCCTTTCTACCCCTAGACCCTAGCTAATCGTTACTCCCTATTCTTTAACCCCGACATATCATGCTAAGATAAGTTAAATCTAACTTAAGCATGGTGGCGAGAGGGATTGGCCACTGGGAGCTTAAAGCCTTAAACCGCCCATTCTAATGTTTTAACACAACATGTATCGAGTAGGCTTAATCATATAATGAGCCTAACTAGTTGTAAGGAATAAGGGCCTATCCCGATATAACTGACGATATATTTACTACTCAATTCTACCAAACTTAGATTCACAAAGTAATATGTTATGATGTTTTGTGTTGCTATTAAGCCATTGAAATTATATACTACGTATATTTATTTAAATTATATACGGAAGGATAAATATAAAATCTCACATGATAATGTATGATGAGGTTAGGCGAGTGAAAAGGAGATTGTAGTGGTCTCCAAATCTAAATATCTAATCCAAATGACAGGAAAGAAAGCAAAATCGAAATCCAAAACATGTAATATGATGGTGGTGGATAAAACCTATGAATAATATCATAGCTGGATGTGACGTGGGATGTATGTAATAGTGAGTATAAGTTTAGCTCGTGAAAAAGGAGGGACTATTATTGTACAGTAATTTATATGAATCCAAACAAGGGAATCTTATGAATATTGAATATAGGATATCAAATGATTGACTGACTCATACAATTGTCAATATCAAACTTAGTTGTCTCCTCTATTTCATTCTTCATTCTTCATTCTCCAGATTTGAGCTTCATATAATCCAACTGGACGGTGCTCCTTTTTTCGTCTTACAATCCACCCTTGTTACTCTGGTAAGATTAAACCAACTACTCTCCTATCCTTTTCTCACCTTAAAAATTGAGTTTTCTTGTTTCTGGTATTGTTTTATGTTTTCGGTTTTCAGAATATTATACTACATACTACTCCCTCTTTGTCAATTTGTTTCTGTTATTTTCGCCCATCAATGATTTATTTTATTCATGTTCATTGATTTTGGAAGAATTATAAATGAAAAGAGCAAATCCTCATTTTTATCATCATCTAGATTAACCAGCCATAAATCAGGTGATTAAAGTGTAAATAAATGGTTGGAATAAGTCAATAACAAAACCTGAATGTTGATGGGTATGTTCATAGTTCATTGGTTTTTATTATGTATTCCTTGTGTTTTTCTATTGTATAGACTAATTCCTGGTTTTATTGTTTAGTTGTTGATTTTACTACTAATATTTCGAGTTGAATACATTTTACATGTATTTTTGTTACTTTAATCACAAAACTACCCTTACTTAATCAAGGTGATATTTTTATTTAAAATTGGGAAGCAAATTAATTTTTGTTCTGTTTGAATTAACCTTATGATATAAATTTGTCTTGTTAATTACATTTCAATCAAGTGGTGATCAATTTGCCTATTTGTATAGAGTGAAATGGATAGCAGAACAACAGGAATTGAGCATGTTCTGGACGTGATTGTTGTGGGAGGAGGGATTATGGGGAGCTGCACTGCATACCAAACTTCAATGAGGGGCTACTCCACACTACTGCTAGACCAGTTCGACTTCCTGCACAACAGGGGTTCCTCCCATGGTGAGTCCCGAACCATTCGGGTCACCTACCCTGAGCCTTATTACTCTTCCATGGTCCTCGAGTCTTCCAAGCTCTGGGAGGAGGCTCAATCACAGGTTGGATACAGGGTCCTTTACCCTACTAATCAGCTTGACATCGGTAAAGCCAATGATCGCTCTCTTCAGGCTGTCATTCGTAGCTGTCAGTCCAACTCAGTTGATTTTCGGGTGCTTGACCACAACCAAGTCACTCAAGAGTTCTCTGGAGGGGTGACTGTGCCTGAGGATTGGATTGGGGTTGTTAGTAGAGGTGCGGGTGTGATCAAGCCAACCAAAGCTGTGTGTATGTTTCAAACCCTTGCCCTCCTAAACGGTGCCATTCTCAAAGACAACATGAAGGTCGTTGACATAAGCAGAGACATGGGAAGTGGTTGCATAGTGGTTTCCACAGCCACAGGGGAGAAATTTTATGGCAGAAAATGTGTCGTCGCTGCAGGTGCATGGATGAACAAGTTAGTGAAGGCAGTTACGGGGCGTGAGGTTCCCATTCAGCCTTTGGAAACTACCATATGCTACTGGAGGATTAAGGAAGAGTATGAAAGGGACTTTTCAATAGATGGGAGGTTTCCTTCCTTTGCTGGATATGGGAGCCCTTATATCTATGGTACCCCTTCTTTGGAGTATCCTAGTTTAATCAAGGTCGGTGTACATGGAGGGCGATTCTGCGACCCAGATAAACGAACATGGATCCCAGATCCAGAGTTAATGGACCTTCTGAAGTTGTGGGTCAAAGAGAGATTTGGGGGTCGGGTTGAGCATGACCGTCCAGTCTCATCACAATCCTGCATGTATTCAATGACCCCAGACGAAGATTATGTGATAGACTTCTTAGGAGGCGAGTTTGGGAAAAATGTGGTCATTGCGGGGGGGTTTTCCGGACATGGATTCAAGATGGGTCCGGTAATAGGGAGGGTGGTGGCAGACTTGGTGCTCCTAGGAGAAGCCAAAGGGGTAGAGATGGAGCACTTCAAGCTAGCCAGGTTCGACGAGAATCCTAAAGGTAACATCAAGGAGTTTGCAGTACAAGTGGGCACTTCCAAGCTATGACTTGATGATGTATTTGATTTCATTTACTTTAGACCCTTGTGCTAGGCTTAAAGTGTGCGTGTGTTTGTGACTAGTATAGTAGTAAGCAGCAAACAGTTGCTTGAATAGTTGAATGTATTGTCTTAGCCTTCGAGTACTTGTCTATTTGTTGTGGCTTTGTGGGCAAATGAAGTATCTTTTCTATGTAAAATATCAAAGAATCCTACAGATACATAAAACTGAAAAACCATCAGTTTAAACTGATAGCATACGTAGTAAATTTCAAGCTTTTTTTAGTTCTAATTTTCAAAACGATAACATAAAATTATGGACAGAAAGCCACAAGGGGATACTCCAAAACATTCCCATTTTCTATACAAAACAAACTCAGTATTGAGGACTCGGAAGGACTTCCCGACATACATTGTCGCTACAAACTAGTATTCAGGACTAGAAAGAACTCCTTGACAAATATAAACGTCAGTATTTTTCTATTCCAAATGTAATTGGTGTATCAAACAATTAAAATTCCACCAAAAAAAAACATGAACCGCATGCGCTAACTAGATACATTTGTACATTGTACACGGCTCCAAGCCTACAGAAACCCTTTTAAGTTGTAAGTGTGCAAAACCCACAAATTTTTAGCTGTACTCCATGTAACAAAAATGCTATATCTTTAACCATCATATCCATTCTACGGTAAACCCCCGGCTTCTTACTGAATGTAAAGCTGACTGAGATTCACCAGAACTAAAAACAGCAGCAAATCTCAGTTTCCCCAGTCTAGCATTGAGTTAAACATATTAAAGCAGTATAACCTCAGTATGCTGGGAGAAATCTTAACGAGCATTATGAAGTTAGGCTGCAGTCTAATAAGAATCATCATTACAGCTAGAGCATCCCTTAACTTGTTCACTTCACATTAATTCTGATACTGCATTTCATCAACAAGACAAGCATAAGCACAGCTCAGTGGCTTACTAAAGTTAGAAAGAAAAAGAAAAAAAAAGTACATACATCAAGGTGAAGCAGGTAAATGAATATCAACAATGCCAATATTCATGTAAAAGGAAAAAAGGATAACTAGTTCGCCTTACATTTAAGATCTAACAAGAATGGACAAAGCTCAAAGAATCAAATAAAAGCAGGCCACTTAGGAGCCATATTAAGTGAATGGCATCACGAATTGATTTGAGTTCATCAACAGTACTCAATTTACTCCAAACAAATTATTGACCTGTAACTAACACTATATCTCCCTTGCCAATCAAAACTCGCATTGTGGCATATGCTTGGATACAGAATATTATACTCCCCAATAAGGAACGCAAGTTAACTTGAGGCATATTCACAGTGAAGCAATCTAGATGATGGCAATAGTGTCATACTAGCTCTAGCAAATTTTTATAAAATCTAAAAAGTATTCGTAACAAAAGAGTAATTACCATACATAAAGAAGCTACCTTTTCAAACTATGAGTGAGGCTAATAATGCATGCAATACAGCCCAATAAATCATGATGCCAAGGCGAAACGCAGGTTGACGCATTAGTGTTCGGTCACAAGATACCCTGGCAAGAAGCAAAGAGGAAAACAATCAAACATTAAGAGAATACAAATTGGTGAAATAACATTGCAGGAGAAAATACCAAGCAACCTACCATAGACCATCAATCATATCGCTGACAGGCCTTGTGAACCTTGGGACGAATCTTGACGTTGTAAGTGATTTGAAGCCATGGACTGAAGAAAAGAATCGACGAAGAAGAAAAACGCATGTGCTCTCAGCAAGGGGAAGAGGCAATCCAATACTTCAGAAATAAGAAGCACAAAAAAAGGAAAATTAGTACCTTTATCATCATCTTCATCCTCAATTCTACCAGAATTTTCAGCATCTGCATCAATAGCTATAGAAACTTGGTCATTGTTCACTTTGCGTAAACTCCGAACTTGAGAAGGAGCTGGTGATGTCCATTTGTTTACCTGCAAGACATGTATCACAGAAGAAACTTAAACAGATAGACACAGCATACTAGTTGCTCTCTTGCAAAACTACAAGATATTGACATAAATAAAAATAGAAGACACATACCGCTGGTTCAACCTCAACGATTTCAGAGGTTCCTAAACCAGAGACCCCAACACCCTGGAGTGATTTTAGATGTAGCTCTTTCTCATGCAGTGAAGCTTCAAGAGCTGCTTTTGTGTGTAACAATTCTTCCATCTTATTTCGTTCTGCTTGTAGAAGTGTATCCTTACTTTGTGCTGCAAGCCTCAAGTCTTCCAATTCAGATATAATTGATGTTATGTCCCTCTGAACATGTTCCTTGTACTCATCCTGAGGACTAACATTGCCATCAACAGCATGGACATTGTGCTTCAGAACACCAGAAAAGCTAGAATTCAACCATGTTAGAAAATCATGAAGCTCGCTAGAAGATCGTTCTTTTGTCATCTTTGTCACTTCTAAGACGTCATTAGTGCATCTAGTGACCTCTTGCCTTAAGAAAGAAACTTCTGCATCTCGATCCTGCAACTGCGTTTGAAGATTTTCAATTTCAGAGAGAAGACCTTCAGACATATGGTGCAGCTCATCAAACTTGTTCACAGTCACAGAGAGCTTTTTAAGGGCCTTAGCACGAGAAGCTTCTACATTCTCCAAATCTATATTCTTCTGTTCTAATGCTTTTTCCAGCTTTTCAATCTCACTTCTCAGGGCTTCCATCTGATTCTCTTCCTCCTCTAGTGCTTGCATCAGAGCCTCAATTTCTGCCAAAAAAAAACAACACATTTACAGGGAAACTCATGGTCAAATTCGGCAGAGTTATTAATTACAGAAAATATATCAAGATTGAATGATAAAATGCTAAACCTTGTTCTTTGGCAGCCACCACACCAGTCAGTGACTTAAACTTTTCCCCTAACTCAGTTGAACTGAGACAGTCCTCCTGTAGTTCAGCCACACTTTGTTCCAACAAGCTCCTGTCTTTACCTAAAGCATCCAGCTTGTTCTCCAAATCATGAGCATAATCCGTCATTGATTTCAGATCCCGGGAACAATGTGCAGCAGTAGCTTCGGCTTCCTTAATTTGGCTTACAAGCTCCATGCATATCCGTTCCCTTTGGACATCCTTCTCTTGAAGCTCCTTTTGCAAATCAAATATTGTAGATTTCATCTCTTTGCTTTGACCTTCAATACCCTTGATTCCAAAATCAACAAAATCTTTTACAGACCCCAAAAGCTTATCAGCCAGAAGTTTTACAGATTCCTCAGAAGACGAAACCGCAACCCCGCTAAAGTTAACACCATCAGCTGTAGGCAAAGCCGGCAAGTTGATTCTAAGCTCCTCAGCAGAAAAATTTTCTCCAATCAATTGGGCTTTTCTATTTTCAATCTCCATGATGGAGCTAATGCATGCTTCATATAGAAGAGATAAGATTCTACGGAATACAACTCCCTCCATGTCTTTTTCTTTCCCGACTGATTCTAAACGGATGTTGTCACCCTTGATGGATTCCAAGGAGTTTCTTTGAGAAGCAATTTCTCTTAGCATGGTGCCAACGACAGCAGATAACCACTCAGCCTCTGTTCTCAACGACATTGAATGACTTTGTAATCTCTCCTTAAAATCACCAATAGTTTCTGTTAGCTGCTGAAGATGCTGTTCAATAACCTCACAGACTTCAAAGCCAGCACTCTCATCCAAAGAATCAGGGATCTTATTGCCCCACGAAGTTCTTGACCAGAAATCCTGTAACAGGAAAGCCTCAACTTAGAAATTAAAAGAGACGAACACACCAATACCAACACCACAAGTATCAATCTTTGCTCAATTGATTAGTAGTTCCAGCAAATAACAAATTAAAACTTAAGTGAATTAAATAATTTGTCTACTGCCAGAAAGAGTCACACCAATAAGTAAAGATACAGAGTCTAAAACATAAGGTATCTTCCTATACTCTATTCTAAAAAGTTTTTCGCTTCCTTGGTTGAAGCATGCAATGCAGCTATATATATACTGCAATTCTAAATTATTGAAAATATGAGATCATATGTCATGAGATAGCCGGAATTTAGATTCCAGCAAAGCTGCATTAACCTATGTCAAGTTGTCAACATTCCAATAACCAATCAAGCAGGAAATGCAGAGAGAGAAAAAGGGGCAGACCTTACTACTTCTCTAAAAATAAAAGCTACTATAACACAAGTTATTATCCAAGGAAAGAAATAATAAACAAGAACAAACGCCTATAATTTACATCAGTAGACAACAATAAATGCTTGAAATGTAGTACCTTGAATCTGGAATTAACAGAGACCAGGCCAACTTGATCTTTAGCAGACACTGAATTTGTGCCAACATCCACGTTAGACTCCATTTGAGCCCTCACATTGTGCAAGAGCTCTAAATCCTTTGCGAACACATCATCACTGAGCGTAGATATATCAAAGAAGACTTTCTTCACTCCATTGACGCTGGAGTTTAACCTCTCCAGTTCAGCAAGTTGCTTCTCTCTCTCATCAGACAATTTATCTACATGAGAAAGAGCTTCAACTTTGGCCGAATTTGCAAGATCCCTTTCCTTTGAGAGATTTATAATCTCAACCTGAGCTCTTTCCAATTCTTCTTGCAGACCATCATTCCTTTCCTGAACTTCATTCAACTCAGCCAACAGAAGCTCAGCTGATCTTTTGGATTTCTTTGCCTCCAGCTCAAAAGAAGCAGTGGAGTTTTGTAGATCAGAGAACGATTTTACAATTTCTTCCAACTTTTGTAGTGGATCATCAAAAATATTTCCTCCAAAAGCACTGATCTCACCTAGTTTGCTAAGCACCAAGCTTAAAGTATTGCGATTTTGCTGTAAATGTTGCTCAGCTTCTAAGAGACGGTCTTTCAAAGATAAATTTTCAGCTTCAAATGCTTTGAAAGTTTCTATTTGGAGACACAAGTCACTTATCTTCTGACTAGACTCTGCGAGAGAAGATTCATGGCTGTTGATTGTAGATTTCAATCGATTTATTTCGGCAGTCATCTCCTCAATGTTCTGTTTCAGACCATCTCTTTGCTGGACTAGTGACTTACCTTTTCTAACAGCAAGATTTAGCTTCTCACGAAGAGAGGCTGACTTCTGCTCTTCCTGATTAACAAGCTCCACAAGTTCCTTCTGTCTCTTATTTACTTCTTCCAGTTCACTCACCACAGATTGATTCTTCTGCATGTATAAATTACTCTCCTCCCTGAGCCTTACAATTTCATCTAAAGCCTCAGCAAGCTCTCGATTCAGATCTGCAACATTCTGCCCCTCATGGACTCTGCTCCTGGACATGGAATCATCCAAATCAATGACATCCTTTTCATAGAGATGCTCATTCTCCGTATTTGTCACCATTAATGCTTTTGCAGTATGCGCCAAAGTGTGTTCTTGTACCCCTACTTTATGATCGTGACCTTCTACATCAACTTCTCTATCATGATTCAAAAGTTTTACAATCAATCTTTCCAAGACCTGAATATTACTGACATCAGAAGACTCGTCTTCAGTTCCAGAATCCTGAAGCGCATCAAGAATCAAGTCCTGTAGTCTCTTTAAGGCACTATCAATCTGATTCATCTGATCCACATTTTCAAGGTTCTTTGCCAAGTTCCCCTGCAAAACGCTAGCTTCTTTCCTTAAACTATCCAGCTCAAGCTCATATTGCTCAATGGTATGCAAAGCTATTTCACGATCAGAAGTCGAAGTCACCAAGCTACTTGAAAGAGTCTCCTTGTCTTGAATGACTGATTGCAGAGAGGATTCAAGCTCGGATATTCTTCTTTGAGATTCTTCTAGGTCAGTTAACAGTGAAACACGATAACTTTCGAACTTATCAATCTTCTGCTGAAGAGATTTTGTGTGGACATCAGCTTCAGACAATGCACTTTCCTTCTCATGAAGAATCGTTTCGAGTTCATATGCTCTTCTCTGTGATTCTTCAAGATCAGATGACAGTGATTCACAATAATTCTCAAGGTTTTCAATTTTCTGCTGAAGAGACCTCATGTGGTGGTCGGCCTCTGACACAGCAGTCCCTAACCAGTGAATCCTTTCTTCGGGTTCCATAGATCTTATCTGAGTAGGTGTATTTATCCTATCCAAAACCTCCTCCCATCTTTGCACCAAAATATTTCTTTCCATCAATGATTGCTCCAGCATGTCATTTTGTTCAGCCAATTCATAATACTTTGCCTGCAACTCCTCATATTTCCTTCTCAAATCATCATCCAGATTTGAGGTAGGTTGCACATCATCCTTGCTTCCATCTGTAACAACAAAGCCAGTATCTGAGTATGACCCTCCTCCAACAGAGCTCCTTTGGTCCCACTCAGCCGGTGGCAATGAATTGCCAGCAACTGTCTTACCCAGCCATTCAACCTTCTCTAAGATGTCTTTTGAGTGAAAATGGTCTGGCAGCTCAAGATCTTCTAAAATCTCCTCGATCCTCTGAAGGGTAGAATCTTTTAGAAGAAAAGACTCTCTTAGTGCCGTTGCCGAGTTACGAATGTATGTCAGCTCAGATTCCAGAGCTTCCATACGTTCACCAGCCTCTGAATAGTCCTTTAGTTTCTCTTCGACCTCAAGAATCCTAGAATCTTTCAACTGCAACTCCTGCGAGTACTTATCAAGTTCACTTGACATTTCTACCAGAGACTGTTTAAGACTGTCACGCTGCACAACCAAGCCTTTTCCCTTTGCAACAGCAATGCTAAGCTTTTCTCTAACAGAAGCAACCCGCTGCTCCGATTGCTCAAGCTCCTTCACTTTCTGCAGTAACTCAGCTTGCATAACATCAAAGCCGTCTTTTGCCTGAACCAAGCTCGCCCTGAGGACAAGGACGTCATTCTGCTGCTGAATAATCAAAGAATTTAACGACTCTACATAGCTCTGCAGCTCATCAAGCTCTACTGCCCTAAAGTTGGCTTCATTAGTTGATAAGCTGGCCTGCTTTTCTAGCTCCTTAAATTTCTGAATAAGCAACAAAACTAAAGACTGCAGGCTTAAAGCAGGTGATTCATCTAAGTTCACCTCTGTATCATGAATCTTTAGCAATTCCTTGACATCCAAAATAAGCTTCGGTAATGCTTCTGTGTTCAAACATCTTTCATTCAGTTCCTCAATTTCATGCACTTTCTTCAACAGGTCTGAGGACAATTTGTTGTTTGACTCCTTAAGCTGCAGTACGTCACCAAGCAAATTTCCCAATTTAGCTACAATGGCCTCATAATAACTAACATCCAACAGACCCTGTTGGTTGTTCTCATTGTGAAGTACTTTACTATCTTCACATTGTTCAACACTGACATGTAGCAAATTCGCCACATCAGCAGAAAATTTCTGTAATAGACCAATAGCCAAACTGTGTTCTTCATTAACAGCATGCAACTTTTCCTCTACTTCTACATATGAGCTAGAAAGTTTATCATGAGCATCAAGCCTCGACTTGCAGTTCTGAATCACTTCACAGGCAGCGTTTAGAGATATAGAGAATCGGTCAAAAACGTTCATGTCATGGCTCACCTCACACAGAAGAGGGTAAGCAGCTGCAGATCTAACAACTGTGTCTAGCTTCTGAACCATCGGAACAAGCTCGGCAAAGGCAGAATTCCATTCCCTCTCAACTGATAATATATTCTCTCTCATTTCCCTCTTCATGGTTTCAACTTCATTGAGAAACATAGAAGTCACCTCAACTGAGCTTTTTCGCAGCTCCTTTAGTTGAACCTGCAATACATTGATTGTAGATTGAGTGTCGGTCAACTTCTTATCAAGTTCGACATTCTGCATCTGGGAATCTGCATATTGTCTTTCCAGAACTTCACATAAATCTTCAAGCTGAGTTTTCTTTGCTTCAGTATCATGTGCATGTTGATTCATAACTTCGCAAAATACTTCCAGCTCAATGTTTCTTGCTTCAAGATTATTACTGACACCCTTCAGAGCTTCAACTTCGTCCTCAAGCTCACCACAGGCTACAACAGCAGCTTTACATCGAATACTTTCTTCCATGAACAGAGCATCCACATGTTCAACATTCTGAGCAAGGGCCTGAAGTATACCTGCCAAAGAACTTATTTGCTTCTTTGCAGCAAAATAGGGATCAAGAAGCCCTATACTTTCAGTTAAGGAGCTTTCCTCGGGCCCTTGGTCATCAACACTAGCTTTGGTCTCAAAAGCTTGAATCAATTTTGAAACTCCAGGAGCTGTATTTTTACCAGATGATCGACTAAGAGATACTGAGTGAGAATGCATGCTGTCAACTTCCTTTTCAAGTTTTTGCATCATTTTCTCAGCCTCCTCTAGATATCCCTTAATAGTTAAAGCACCCTCACAGGAACCAGATTGTATATTACAAAGAGATGCATCAGACACGTCTCCAGCTGCAGAGGCAACTGACAGTGATGCAGCTTCAGGGTCCTCTTTTGCAAAATTTTCAGCAGAACTATCAGTGTCAGCTGTTCGGAAATGAGTCCTGGATCCAATCCCCACAGAAGAATGAATTTCCCTGGTATCAGTCTCATGTATTCTTGCTTTATGAATGTTCAAGCTGCTATGGAGAGCAATGTTTTCTTCAGCCATTAGTTCGAGACGTGAAACTGCTTCTCTCAGTTCAGCCTCAAGCTGCACATGTTCCTGATGTTGCATTGACACCGTTTCTTGGTAAACAACAAGTTCAATAGAGAGTTTTCCAAACTCCTGGACAAGGAAATCGCCGTGATCTTTTAGCTCCTTGTTTTCTTCAATCAAGACTGCAAGGCTTGAATTCAAACCAGAATTTTCATGCTGCAAAGTCGCAATCATTCCCCTACAATCTGCCAAATCTCCTGAAAGCATCTCCTTCTCATGAAAAAGAACTTCCTTTTCTTCCTCAAACTTCTTCCTCTCATCAGTCACAGAAGCAAGGGTGATTTTCAAGTTGGTAATTTCCTGCTCCAGTACATCCAATTGAGTGCTACTACTAGAAATATCCAGTGAGAGCTTTTGATTTTCATGGGAATATTGTTCCATCGCCTCCTCAAATTTATTACGTTGCTCAGACACTAATTCTAAACTTTTCAATAGCTTTTCATTCTCTACCTGCGAAGCTTCCAATAAAACCTTAGAATTGGCCAAGTCTGCAGAAAGACTGGAGATTTGCATGATAGACTCGTCCAATTTAATCTCCAGTTCATCAACTTTGGCAGAAAATTTCACTCTCTCTTCTTTGGCATGATGATACACGTTCTGAAAGCTCAGTTTCTCACTGATAGCAACCTCCAGTTCAGATCTGCACTGAGCAAGCTCCAGACTGAGGCTTTTATTGCATTCTTGAACATCTGTAAGCAATGCAGTAAGAGCAGGTGCTTCATGATCACGATCAGTTTGTTGTTCATTCTTCTCAAGAAATTGCAAATATAATAAGTCTTTTGAAATGTTTGCTAGGTAAAGCTGCTCCTGGATTGTCTCAGAAAGAGCAACCATCTCATTTTTGGGCACAGCTAGATTGTCAAGATGTGTTATTTCTCTTGACTTGATCAAGTACCTAAAATCACCTTCAGAGAGCCCCTTCAGCACCTCAGCAAGTTGAACCAGGTCCAAGAAGTTGCCTTGTACACCTGAGCACAAAGATTGGTCCCCAGAAGAGTCTACAAGGCTGTTCTCAACATCTTTGTGACTTTTACCATCAATCACACTAGATCCTTCTAGTGAGTTGGTCTCATCACACCCTTCGACAGATATCTGATCAAAATGAGCTTGATTTTCTTTGCTTCCAAAATGTCTTGAATCACTTGCAGATTGTGAATTGAGTTCCTTCGGACTTGCTAGTTCAGCATGCGTAGGGATTGTCTCAGCAGGAACAGAAACTTCAACAGTTTCAAGATCTCCTCTGAACCCACTGACTGCAGCAGTAGAAATACCAAGCTCCGCTTCAGGATTAGGAGTAATCAACTTTTCTGTGATGGCATTTGATGCTGGTGGAAACTCATCTGGCTTCAGCTCAACATTTTTATCACAATGCTTCAGATCAAAATTCTCAGCATCCTGCATTGCCCCTACCCAGGAACAAACGAGCATAAAATTATACATCAAATTTGGAAGATATCAATGTGTCAACAAATTATCAGAAAAGTGAAGGGGCATAATGATAACGATGATGACAGATTGACAGCGATAATCATAATAAAACTATGATAGAATAACGAAGATGGGAATAATGAAATCCAACAGGAAAAATAAGAGAGAAGGCACAACCTAAAACTGATACCTGATCTCCCTCATGCATGCCCTTCACTTCAATAGAACCAACAGCAACCATTTTAGCATCAGATGCTGCTACAGGGGCAGAATCAGAACTGGGAGCCAAACCATCAACATGCACAGTGTTGGATTCAGAAGAAACTGATGTCCCAGCCCCTTCAGCCCCACAAGTTATCTCTACCTCTCCTTCATTTGAAGTATTAAATCCAAGTTCATGATTTAATGCAGTCTCTGCTGACACCAAGCCTGGTGAGTCTGCATAATTCTGGGAATCAGGAGATGTATCCTGTGATTTCTTCAAAGGCTTCTGAGTATCATTGGTAGAGTCTAAAGAATGCGCTGAAGATTCCACTTCTGCTCCAGCAACTTGTGATGATTCTGCTTCTGTTGTATCAGCAACAGTATTCAAGTTGGCATCAACATTACTTTGTTCAGACTTATCAGCTTTACTGGTGGACCTACTACTGGTTTTTCCATCTTTTCCTTTTCCATCTTTCCCTTTATTATCCTTTTTCTGACGGTATTGTTGTAGCTGGAAAATTCCATACAAAACAAAATCCAATTAATATCCCCAAGACAAAAGTTAAGTAGCATGTGCTTAAGTATACTTGTTAAGATGACAAAGGAGTATTAGTTTCCACAAAAAAAAAAAGAGAAAACTGTTAGGTTTCCAGGAAAGTGCAGAGGAAGTAAACCTAATATACCACTACTGACTTACTGAGTTATAAGAATAAACACTTAGGTCAGTTTAAGAGATGTCATGAATCAAATTTAAGAAACCACGCAGAGAGAAATAAACGTTCAAGTCTTCAATTTATGTGTTCTCACACCGGTAAACTCAGCTACATGGCAAACTTTGTCATCAAACAACTAGCTGATGTATATTAAAAATAATTAAGGGATAAAATATCCTAAATAACCATATTTTTCTATTTGTGTTGATATTATTGAAACTCCTTAAAAAATATAACATTAAATAAAAAAATATATATATAAGTCGGAAATTCCTATATGGTTTCTGATATAACAATCAATATGATGGTAAACTCATGATCCTTGGAATTGGACATTAATTCAACCATTGGCTAAGAATAAATATCTCAAATAGTTGGATGACTTTCAAAGATAACAACTATTTTCTAAAAAAAAAAAAAAGTAGTGTCTTATAAATAGCACAAGATCTCCCTCTCATGACTAGAATCAATTAGCATATAATCACATTCTTAGACAAGCTTATTATGGTCATTAAGCTTCAAATGCTAATTCCGGCAACGCTCATTTTCGATATAGATAAATGTTGTTTTGTTGAATCATACATTTCCATGAGCTGAGCTAGTTGGTTCTCTCTGCACAGATTTCGCATCCTGTCTTCCAAGTTCTTTGATTTGGTTTAAGCAGTATAATTGATTTAATTGTAGGGTTATACTATCAAATATTAGGAACAACAAATATCGAGATTTGAAAATTACATAGAATTTCCAGCCAAATTGCTTAAATAAGCTGAAATAAACAGAAATTACGCAAGTAAAAAGAGAGAAAGAAAAGGAAATGGAACCTTTTTGCGGCCAGCAGTAAGAAGATCAGTCCGGTTCGGCTTTTTGTCCATTCCGAACCGGGCTTAGGTCTAAGAAGAGGGCTCAATCAGCAACATCCAATCACTAGCAATCAAAAATTCAAAATCAATTTCAATTGAATAGTCAAACTCAAACTCAAATGCAATCAGTCATCGAATAATTCCTTGCAATCTAATTCAACAAATTAATAAACAAAATGTACATAGTAAGTAGTTGAATTGGGGAAAGTGAAAAATTGAAGATGAAAAACCTAAAATTGCAAAAAAAAAAAAAAAAAATTGAAGAGAGAGAAAGTAGAAAAAAAAACCTGGATTGAATTGAAGAAATAAGAGAGATCTAGTGTAGAAATAAAGATGAATGAGTTGTAAGGTTGGTGTTGGATGTCGGTTGCTTATGGTGTGTGTCTTAGATCTGACGCAAATGAACAAATTCTGGTATACAATCACAACAAGGAAGAAGAAGACGAGGACGAAAGATCGAAAAATTATGTGTAAAATGTTGTTAGTTGCTCAACATGAAAAACGAGGATTTGATTTGCTTGCATTACTTGCTTGTTTTGGCCCAGATCTATTGGGCTAATACTAATGTTAAATGACAATATAATTTATGCAACGCTAGCCCAAGTGCCCAACTCAATGTCAACCGTTTAAAGAAATTCCTAATCCACTTTCTTTCATTTTCAACTACATCGGATCGGTGTTCACACTTTCACATTAACTAGTATTTTGACCCATTTGATGCACGGCTAGTTATTTAGGTTAATTATTTTTATATATAAGTATGTTTTTCAAAAGTTAAAACATTTGATATATTATACGAAATAATTGTTTTATTGCTAAAACTTTAAAGAAAAAAAAAACAGTCATAATAGAACTGTGAAAGAAGACGAAGGAATTTGGTTAGGTATACTGTATATACATGAAGATTGTGGGATATGAAATGTTATATTAGTTTATGTTATATTTTAAGTCTAAGAGATGAAAAGACAATTTTTATTATAATTCATATGTTTATGTAATGTGTACTAATTATGCTGGAAATGAAACACTTCATTTTCTTCCTTGAATAGTTGAATTTGCAAGTTAAAGAATACATAAAGACTTAAACAAAAATATTAAGAGAGGTGACATGTAGCATATGGAGTAATGAGTGACTTGTAATGACATGTGTCATGTAAAAATTTTGGATAGATAAGATAGGTCTAGAATGCAGAAAACTTTTATTATTATTATTATTATTTTTATTAGGAAATTTTGCAAAAAAACCACCTTTTATAAGCAAATTTTTTGCAAGAAGCTACCTTATAATTTTTTTTGCAATGACACACCTTAATCAAAATTTTTTTTTGCAAATCAATACCTTTATGTCGGAAAATGAGGTTTGACCCCATTTTCTGGTGTTGACTACCCCAATCTACCCACGAAACCACCTCTCTCCCCAGCCCCACCCACAAAACCACCTCTGTAATCCCCCGTATTTTTTAAATATTTTATAAATGGAATTTTATTTTATTTATAATATTTATTTGTCATTTTTCGGAATTTAATTTCAAAAGTTTCAAATTATTAATCTGGGTCGAAAATTATTTTATGCACCTTTATTCTACAATTTATGTCCAATCACACAAGCCTAACCCATTTATTTACTTAATCGACCCATTATTTTTATGACTCCATTAATTAATAATAGGTAAAGCATTAATTTTATTCATTGGATTACGCAATAGACAAGGTTGTCCAACCCATGCTCCATTTGGAACATCAATAAAAGAAAAACCCCATGCCACCTTTCGGAAACATCAATAACCATCCAACGACCACGGGCGCAACTCCGTGGCCGTAGTTAGTATGAGATCTCACCTAACTCCTAGCTTTAGAAAAATAATATTTGAAATAGGAGACTCGTACATCAAACGGCCTTGATAAAAGTACACGGCTAATACCCCATGTACCCCAACCCCTGATTGTCATTACTCCAGATGTGCACCATTCTAGAGTTTTATTGCTCATCCATCTTGCACTTTACGTGATTTACAGGTTTAGACTTGGTGATGACTCATATACATTTCAATACAAACATCCCAAAACGTACAATTCAATTAAACATGGCAATTTCTCATTTTAGATTCTTGATTTATTAGTGATAAACAACATTTATTAATTATTCCATTACTACCTCGGTGTATAAACACCTTGAGTGCACAAGGCACCCCTTAACCTTAACCTCGTCATACAAGACTTGAGTTTCTCCTTTACTCATCCTGTTTACATAATCATGAATGAGTAATAATTTGAACTTTACACCAATCACATACCTTTGCCTTTAAGCGCACCTTGCATAATTAAAGCACAAATAATACTTGCATTATAAACTAGTGCACATCATTTGAAATTCACAATGTATAACCAGACAATTTAACCCAGTCAATCCTATACATGATACTAAGTTCTCGATTCGTCCTTAAACATGCACCTAAAAGAAAGGTTTCGTAACTCGTACGTACCTTGAATAATAAACGAATTGGTATGCCACTTTACTATCTAGAAATCACCTTCAATAAACTCCTCTCCTAAACCAAACAATAACATCTCAATCAATCAAATTTACAGCAATACTAACCTACTTTAAAACCTTCAAAATCCAAATCAAACAACACTTTAAAACCTTCCCTTTAGTTAAAATTAAAGGCTTATATATAGTTCTTTAAATTTTCTTCATAAAAACCTTAAAATACACTCTTATACATGAAATTACAGCAAGTTTAAAGTTTAATAAAAATCTTTAAATTATTTAAAAACCCCTAATAATCTCCCTTTTTAATGGGTGATTAAACCCTCTTTATAAAACATCAAAAGTAGTACTTAGAAACTATTTCTAACACTTAAATTCAATTAAAAACATATATTTATGCTTAATTAACTTTAAACATAATTAATTTTATCAATCAAACTCAAGGATAATATTTTAATTATAAAAAAAGCTTCGATAAAATAAAAAAACTGCCCGAAAATCATATTTAGAGGCTGAATTTGGCCACGAGAGGGTGGTTCACATTACCAAAGGTAGTGAGTCTTTCTTAAAACGTTGTTTTCACATGGAAACCACTACTTTTTTGTCAAAATCAGATGAGTTTAGTACCTGATCGGGATTAAAACGGGATTAATATTAACGAACGTAAATCTAAAAATTAAAACACGAATTTACATGTTCAAAATAATCTGGAATTAAGTTAAACTAATCATAGTTATAATCACCAAAATTTCAAAACATCATTACTATAAAAGCCCTAAATCAATTGTTCATAAAAACCCTAAAATTATGATTTTCAATAATTAAAAACCCTAGGTTATAAAATTTACAAAATCTGAAAATTATGACATTATAAAATCTGAAATTATAAAGTTTAATCATCAAAATACAACTTGATACTAATTAAATTACTTTCAAATAAAAAAATCAAAATCCATAAATCAATAATTATAATTATACAAATTAATAAAATTAAACAAAGGATCGGAGAGAGAAAATAAGACTAACTTTTTTGTGTGGGAAATTTTTGGGGATTAATGGGGTATTTATAGGAGAGAATGTCGTAAGGTAAGTAAGAAGATTGGGCCTCATAAAATTATTGGGCCAATTAGGTAAATGAAATGGACTAGGCTTTGTTTGTATGATCATGAATTGTAGAACATAGGTTCATAAAATAGTTTGTGCTAAAATAATTTTTGACCAATATTAACAATTTGAAACTTTTGTAATTAAATTCTGGAAAAGTACAAATAAATATTATAAATAAAATAAAATTTCATTTATAAAATATTTAAAAATACGGGGGATTACACTAAACCCTCCTCTAACCCTAGCCACCCTTCTCCCCTCCATTGTCAGTTTCGTGGGTGTAAATGGCATAGTCAACGCTGGAAAATACAGTTTGACTCTATTTTCCGGCATAAAGGTATGGTTTTGCAAAAAAAAAAAAAATTGATTAAGGTGTGCCTTTGCAAAAAAAAAAAAAAAAATTATAAGGTGTGTCTTAAAATACTGGTTACAAATCTTTATGGCTAATCATTAATACTAATATGTTTTACTCTATCATATTCTATTTTTCCAAAACATCTTATTTTTTAATGGATGCTAGGTAACTAAAATTTAAATATTTGGGTTTTGAAAACTTTTGAGGCAGTAATTTTAGGATGTGCTTGGAGAACATAAACAGACAACTTTATCAAAAATAATTTTAATATTGAAAAAAATGAAGGGTTAGGGTCTGTTCTCATACGTTTATTTTCAGTTCAGCTCAGTTCCTAATTTCCTTATCTTATAAAATATTTATTTCAGTTCAGTTTAGTTTAATTCAATTTAGTTCAGTTCAGCTCAGCTCAGCTCAGTTTAGCTGAATTCAGTCAATGAGAACAAGCCCTTAGGTACTATGTGACTATGTGTGCAGATTATTTTAATGAATTTTTTCATTTAGGTTTCTAAATCTATTTCTTAAAATGCACATGTTTAAGACTATGTTCTCACCTAAAAAGTGTGGGGATAACACATGTAAATTTACTAGTAATTATAATTTTACACGTTGCTAAATGCTTTACGCGTCAATCGTAACAAATCAATGAAAGCAACTAGGTTTATGTATTGTGAACCTACTAAAGTTTTTTAAATGAATTTGAAATAAGATTTTAACACTCTTAAGGCTTTGTTCTTTTGAGCTTTTAGGCAGAGCAGAGCAGAGCAAAGCAGATTTCAGAGGAGCAGAGCAGAGCAAATTGAAGCAGAGCAGGGCAGACCACAGCAGATTGAAGCATCTATTTTTAAGTACTATTTTTAAGCAGGGCAGAGCAGATTGAAGCAGAGCATAGCAGATTTCAGCAAAGCAGAGTAGATTTCAGCAGAGCAGAGCAAAGCAAAGCAGTCCCTTATATACAACAATTAGAGTACAAATGAAGGCTGAAGGCCCAATAACATTATTCGATATGACCCAAGTGGGCACGAAGAAGGGTTAAGCATTTGACCTAATCGTGCGAAATATTGTCCCAATGCTAAATTTTTTGGAAGAGTACCATTTCTTCCCTCAATATTGAAATATATTATAATTTTGGGCTAGATTTTCTTCGGTTTATTTCAATAAAAATAATTTTAATCTAGTTAAAATAATTTTTAATCAATGATTTCAAAGATAAAATAATCCCACTATTTTTTAACTTTCATGAAATTGTAGGAGAAAGAGTTATATGCATTAAGTAAATGAAATTGTAGGAGAAAGAGTTATATGCATTAAGTAAATAAACAAGATAAAACTTTAGTGGGCTATTGTGGGGAGGAAATAAGGTAAAAATATAAAAATGAAATTGGTAGGGAGTAAAATATAGAATCTGCAAAAATGAGTTTAATCAGTAAAATTAGTTTAAGTTCCATGAAAATAATCTCAATTCAACAATAGTAATTAAGTTGAAGAGAGCAAAGCCTTACACTATTTAAGCCTTGTAGTATTTTTTTTCTTACATGAAAAATATTCAATAAAAATAATTGGGAAATTCTCAATGGTAACATTATAATTTTT